TGTCCACACAGGGAACGGAAGTGCTATTCACAACCACAAGCCATCTACTGATGCTCGAGTTCATGCTGCTCATAGATCAAGGGCGGTGCAAGCTACAAGCGAAGCTACGCAGCAAACTTTGGAAAATGTAATTGAGGCCCAGTCTGCAGGTGGCGTTCCCGTTGCCAATATATACGCAACCGTGCTGAATCAAGACCCCAGCGCAATGATCTAAAGAAATCTCGAATGTGAAAAACGCTGCTCGCCGACAGATTCTCGCGACATACCCCCCATTGAAGCTCTTTTCAAGTAGTTAAACGACGAAGGATTCTTCTACCGAAACACTGCTAATGCTGAAACACAGCGCCTCGAGTACGTGTTGTGGGCCCACTTTGTCACGGCTAATCTCTACAAATTTTTCATTTCGACGTTATAGTGATGGACTGCACCTACAAAACAAACAAATTTGATCTCCCGCTATTGAATGTCATCTCCCTTACTGGTATGGATACTGTCCTTCCGGTGTGTCAGGCTTGCCTACCCGGAGAGAAAAGAACTGGCTATACGTGGGCTTTTAACATGTTTCGTCTTCTGATGCTGGAGTATGATGTACCTGTCCCGAGCGGGATTGCCCATGACATCGATTAAGCTTTAACGAACGCTCTTGCACGAGTTTTCCCTGACGATCCTACGGTTCTGTGTCGATGGCACATGAATAAGAATGGTCTCAGCAATGCACGAGAGGTTCTAGGCAAGATTCCAGTGGTGAATCCAGCTCCAGGTCAGCCCAAGTACACGAACTCTTTGGCCACAGACAAGTTCATGGCTCTGTTTTATCGAACGGTAGATTCTGAGACTGAAGAGGTGCTTCGCCTCAATAAGGCAGCTCTGGTCCATGCTAATAGCCAACTAGCAGCCTACCTTGATGAACACTGGTGGAAATATGAAAACTAATTCGTTAAGGTTTGCATGAATCGCTTGCACTGCGCATGAGTTCCCTCCACTGTTCGAGATACTTCAATAGTGGAGGGAACTCATGCGCAGTGCAAGCGCTGGGTCAAATCAACTCGAGGCGACTTATTTACATTATTCAACAAGCTCCTACCTTGGTGGGTGTCTTCGGCATCCCGGACGAAAGAAATCGTCAGCCGTAACGAAACGATTGTGCCTTACAAGTTGCAGTTCAACGAATTTTCAGCATGCGTGAAAATCATAACAAACTGGGCTTTGTACAAGACTGAAGAGCTTTGGTCATGGGCCCACAAGAGGATTATAGAGGGTGGACCACCTTCGGACTGCATTGGTGTGTTTGTGCAGTACACGGGGCGTCCGTGTGTCCACGATCTGGCGCATATTATAGAATCTAATGCTATCCCACTTTGACAAGCACAGGTGGGTCCAACATAACCCCGACCAAGATCAAATAGCTGCCATTCACATCCTAGATCCTCTGCCTGCTAAAGCGAAACGAAACAAGAGAGCCAGGACCAATATGCACGAGCGACCACGGTGTCAATGGCACT